TATTTTGTTTCTTATACACACTAATATACTTTATAATGTCGCTACAATCTAAATTTGTTTCGTCACTTACTATGTAAATCACCCACTGCGACACATAGATGATCTTTTAGTGAACCAAAGGTCAAATGAGTATAATTCCTCAGTAATTTACCATCTGAGCCACTCAATGTATTTAACATTTTTAATAGCCTATACTTATATACATGATGGGGCTGAATTATGTTTTAATGTATGTTCTATAAGGGACAGCCACTGCTGAAACCTGAATCTCCATGCACATCATTTGTGGGGCCTCTTACTGGCACCATGCTGGATACTATTTTCATCTGTAACCTGTGAAGGATTCTCTCATAGTGAGGTGCACAAAAAATTATATTATATTATATTATATTATATTATATTATATTAATGACTTCAGCTATATTTATACATTTTAAACTGAATTATTTTTTTATTTCTGTGCTAGACCAATGATAATTGTGTTTAAAATTAAACCAAACCAAAAAATGTAATTTGCTGAAAATTTACTCACCCTGCAGGCCATGAAGATGTAGATGTAGTTTGTTTCTTCATCGGAACAGATTTGGAGAAATTTAACATTACATCACTTGCTCACCAATGGATCCACTGCAGTGAATGAGTGCCGTCAGAATGAGAGTCCAAACAGCTGATAAAAACATCACAATAATCCACACCACTCCAGTCCATCAATCAACATCTTATGAAGTGAAAAACTCATCTCTTCTGAAATATGCACAGGTCAAGCAAACATGCAAGTTAAACATCTTGATAATGATTTTGTGTCTTACAAACACACAGCTTTTCACATCAAAAGATGTTAATTGATGGACTGGAGTGGTGTGGATTACTTGTGGATTATTGTGATGTTTTTATCAGATGTTTGGACTCTCATTCTGACGGCACCCATTCACTGCAGAGGATCTATTGAAGAGCAAGCGATGTAATGCTACATTTCTCCAAATCTGTTCTGATGAAGAAACAAATTCATCCACTTCTTGGATGGCCTGAGGTTGAGTAAATTTCAACAAATTTTTTTTTTTGGGTGAACTTTTCCTTTAAACTCAATTAGCATTGAACTTAAAAGCCATTTTACTGATTACGGCTTGTAAAGAAAAACTGTAAAACCGAACAGTGAAATTAATTAAATGAAATTAGTTAACTTCACTCAAATAATAATGAAAGTTCATTGGACTTAATTGAAATAAGTTCTGTAAATTTAAAATGTTGTTGTAGTAAGGTGAACTTAAAATTATTGCGTTTTCTAGGTCCCAACATGCTTTGCATCAGACAACAAGGAAAATAAATGTAGAAATTAAGTGTTATTTTGAGTGTTTTTACACAAGATTAACACAGAGAGACATAATTTACTTAAATGTTGTGTTATGTTAGGATTTTCATGGGTTTCTGTTATGTTGGTTTTGTAGTGTTACCATTGTGGTGAAGAGTAGAGCCTGTGGTTAGGTTGAGGATGGACAGATAAACTTAAAGACTATTTATACTGCATGTTGCTTGACTATTTACATGCAAGTATTGTGAGTCATTTTGATAACTACATTAGAACGTGCCAGTGTGCTGTTGCTAACTTGCACTTAACTATAAGTATCTGAATGAATGTGCTGTTAATGGAAGCAAGTTGTAAATACTTAATCATTGTGATGAGTGGGGTGGGATCATGGAAGCGAGGCTTGGCTTGGCTCCCATGGCTCTCAGCCTCGCCCCACTTGCCATAAAAATTAAGCTCTACTAACTTTAAAAAATTGAGTTTGTTTACTCAAATATTTTGAGGCAACAAGTTTCCTCAAATGTTTTGAGTATTCTTAACTTATCAGGTTTTACAGTGAAGAATGCAGAGTAATGAAGATTCATTTTCCTGCTGTCTCTTGGAATAACAGTCTCTGATAATCAAGTTATTTGTAACAATCAACTGTGTCAAAATAGGTAATGTAAAAGTGAATTGACGTAGCAAACAGAATGCAGATATCTGATTCAAATTTGAATGTAGGAAGTCAAATTAAAATGAACTGAAGTTCAGATAAATGCATGAACAGGATGTTTAGTTTTAATTAGAAAAGAAAGATTCATCAAAACAAACTTTGAACTATGGCATTTGGCAACTTAGGTTGCGTTTACACTTGGCATAAACATGCGATCACCGTGATCTGATCAAGCAGATCGGCTCATCAGTCAATCAGGACACGGCGCATTTACACTTGGCAACATCAGATGACTTCTCGATCTGGATAACCGATCAGATCTGTCTTTCCCGCGCAATATTTAAATAAGTCTGCAGAGAATGGCATGATGTAACATAACACCATCATGTACATAACTTATAACAAAACCTAATAAAAATACAATTATTTAAATGAAATACCATCAAATGTGAAACATTTCACAGGGAATAGGTAATATCAATTATAAGTTGACTTGATCTTTTTACTTCCAAAACCTGTCAATTTCAGTATTTTACCATAAAATTACATTTAATGTCCTGATAGATCAGTTTTTCACCATATAAAGTAAGTGAATGTACTCTTAAGCAAATAACAGGTTGTTACTGTAGCATTTTTACAGTTTTTTTTCACCATTAAACTATAATCAGTGTGGATTGCAGGACTGGGGAGAGGTGGCAGGCATTTGAAAATATGTCATACAAACTATATGGCAGACTGGATCTATGCAATAAGAAATGATAAAAATACAGTTTATGTGAAAACAAATTTTTCTAGAAACACAACATAAGATTTTTTTTGTATGAAATGCATTTTGTATGAAATTCAAATACTGCCATCATGTGGTAAAAATGATTTTTTAAGGGGTCATATGATGCTTTTTTAAAGATCATTATTTTGTGTATTTGGTGTAACAGAATATGTTGACACGCTTTAATGTTCAAAAAACACATTCTTTTTCAAATACTGTACATTATGTAGGTCCTCTATGCCCCGCCTCTCTCAAACGCTTCGTTTTCTACAAAGTCCCTCCTTCCGACAAGCGCAGTCTGCTCTGATTGGCCAGCTGACCCAGTGCATTGTGATTGGCCGAACACTGCAAGCACTCGTCGGAAATGTAATGCCCCTTACCATAATCGCGAGCTTCATCTTTCAAAATAAATGTAAAGACAGAGCCCGAAAGGGGAACAGAGTCACGTGACAGACACAGTGATGAAGCTGGTATGTGTTTGCAGTATACAGGCCACGGTTAAGACAGCTGACTCCACTGTGATGTGACCCTCTCTCTCTCTCTCTCTCTCTCTCGCTCTCTCGCACTCTCGCTCTCACTCTCTCGCGCTCTCAGTCTCTCTCTCGCGCTCACGATGTGCAAAACTCCGCATTTGAACAGTCAATAGCAAATACTCAAACTAATAACAAAACATACTTACAGTCACTGATTCAGAAGTGCCAGATTGTCATAGCAAAGTCAGAATGACCTCCTCATCTCCTCATCCTCCTCATTCATTTTATGGACGTTCACGAAACGTCCATAAAATGCATTGCTGTTCTGTTGTAAGTAATCTTAAAGATTCCTAAATGCATCTACTTTCGGAAG